GAACTGGTTACTTGTTCAATCCTCTAGTTGTCTATAGTTCGTTGACCCCTATTAACGTTAATAGCAGCCTGTGCTTCAATAAGAAAATTGTTTTATATGCATATAGCCCTTGTAGAGGAATAAAACTTTTGTAGTTAAGTTTTTCACATATTGTATATGTAGTTCGGAATATCCTGTGCTACATTCAAAAATGTAATAGTTATATCAATTTGGCGGCTATCGACATCAAATTTAGCAGAGAAATAAAAGTCCATATGCATATATAAACTGCAAAAATTGAAAGCAATTACATCTCGCCAATTATTATTTTTTTAATATTGAATTTTTTTTTGGGGTTATTTTGGTTAATTTTGGTTAACTGTAAGCCCGATCGGCAAAAATATGTAACGAGGAAACGCAGAAGATCCGAGGCTCTAACTTTTATTTTAAGCAGTTTTTGATTATGTATGGGGTTTTTCAATTATGGGCGGCTTTTTCAAATGCAAATCTCGAGTAAAAAAACAATGAACCAGAACCCTATCAAAAATAACGAAACTAATGGCAGTCGAATTTGATTGGTGAGAGTTTTGTAATGCGACTAAAACAACGACGATCTTAATAACTATTATAAATCGCAACCAATTAAACCAGCCGGATTTCAAACGAGATTGGTCGAGTACCTGCAAACTTCCAAATATGCATTTTTAAGATCTGCTTTTATGATACCCGCGTTTATGGAGTTTTAAAGTGCTGCCGCCCCGTTAAAAAGCTAGCCCGGGGGGCGGCGAACAGCCCGTTTGGGAGTATAAAATACGCCCCCCACGGGGATAAACATTACCGCATTCTACTGCATGGAGGTTCGTGCTTGTCGCAGACGGATTCCAGCGATTATTGCATTTTGGATTTCTATTATTAATAAATGCCTAAAGGTCCTGACGTGGGTAGGGCGTGGTGCTTAGACGGAGATAGTTATTAAAAAACTTTAGCCAATTTTGTTGTTCTAATAATTACTTGGATTTAAAACCAGTTAATAGTACGTAGTTTTCCGCATTTTTACCAAAAAAGATTCAACACTACTCTACTATTAGTAAGGGTAAATATAGGTAATGGGGATCACTTAAGCGAGAATGAAAAAAAAAAATATGTGAATCAATTATTTATTCCTCTGTTCTTTTTATAAACTTCACTTATTTAACTACTGAGAGGTGGTGATCAGCATGTGGCCAATATGCACATATCGCACACATAATTGTTCGTAGAATCCCATCCGCTACAGTCGGCATGAGCACAGAGTCCATAAGAACTGCTACTGTACCATGTTTCATTGTCAAATTCACCACTTGCAAGACACATGTTGTTTGCATTTTCTGCGTCGTCATTTTTGTCATTATGGCATAACTGATCCGTATTCGCGTCTGATGTCGATGTGTTGTCATTAGAGTCCTGCAGAATTTCCTAAACTTTCTCACGACTGACATTGTGTGTCTTGCTTTTCTTTCCTTTTCCTTGCTTTTTCACAGCTTTGATCGGTGTAGATGTTAAAATCGTTGCGTACTGTTTTTTTCTACCATGTCTTGTCTTGACAGCATTTACATTCTTCAAATGAACAGAATGGTAGATCCTTACATGTTGATCCTTGATGTTGATGGGTCGCTGGGTCAGAAGCAGTGGGACGAAATGCATTTGGAATATTTCGTTCCAACTCAATAGGAGGTGTTAGGGATGATACGGAGACATCAGTACCAGCAGACGTCGATTCTGAAATAGAGTCATCATAATCTTGAACAACAATTGGCTCAGATTGTAGGATTTCTGTTGCTATAAAGTCTTCATCGGAAAAAATATTGGGATTCATAGGAAATATGCCCGTTGCTTTGAATCCAGCTTCGGCCTTACTAATGGAAGCAACATTAGGGAATGCTGTTTTCACCAGCGAAGCAGTATCATAGGGTGTTATTTTTTGTGAAAACGAATTACGTGCGGGCTCTGAACCTGGTTGGGTAGATAATGCTCTGTTGCTTTCTGCAAAAGATGTCAAAAAAGCAAAAGTTGACTACCGCGAAAACATGACAATGAAATGAAATGAAAAATAGTTTTCCGAAAAATTGCTTTCCATTATTCCACCAAACAGTGTTGTCTCGATGGACAACGCCAACTACCATTGTACACAGCCGGAAACAATACTAAAGAAGTCATTCAAAATTTTTGCTTGAAAATGATATGTATTTTGAAAATTCCTACACAAAGAAGCAGTTATTGTAAATATGATAAGAAGTATAATGTGGACAAGTTTTCCATGGAGCGAGGTTTCAAAGTTGTAGGTCTTCCAATATCACTGCAATTTTAATCCGATAGAACTGATATGGAGACAGCTAAAACCCGGCTTAAGAAGAAACAACGCCTTGCTGAAATTTAATTCTTTGACAATAGAATTAATTAATAGAAAAAATTAACATGTCACCGAAGAAGAAAATGTTTACAGAATTCAACTAGCGCCAGAATTAGTTATTAATATGGGGGACGAGTCCAGTGACGATAGTGACTATTTTGATGTAGAATGATAGTTATTCTAACATTGTTTTATAGCTGAGTTTATTCCTATATTTATATACATAATAAACGTTTTAAAGTAACAATCGATTTTTCACTGCATAATCGAGGAATCTCACCGATAAAACGCTACATAAATCCGTCAGCTTTCAGCATTTGTATGGTTCTGGAACGTCATTATGGAATTGCGAATCTATTTCTTGAGGGTCACAAAGAGCGAGGCAGGCCTGCGATAAGACCTTTATAAAAATTTACCACCGTTAAATACCGAATTATTTCGTCAAAGGTATATCGGTTGGAGAACTCTACCTGCTTGAATTCTGCACTTACATTCCCCTGCTCCGTCGCGGTCAGACATTAGAAATTATTGATACTTTTGAATTCCTACTTATATATCCGGTGGTTACTTCTCGTTGAATACACGTACTTAGTTTTGACTCCGTTAATTCTAAGCGTGCCTTTTTGAAAGTCGTTGAAGGTAGATGATGATACATACAGACATATTCCAGGACCTATTGAAGGGGAACAGGAAGAGATCATCGCCTACCTACGTAACTACCAATCTACATATTTGAGCCACCGGCCTGAATTGTTTTGACAAATTTTATTCACAAGCCAACTTCTTCCACTGCTTCCGTAGTTTCATCTTCTGAACGGTATCACACGCCCATATGAAGTCTACAAATAGTTGATGATTTTCCAATATTTTCATATTGCTTGCCTGACGGTAAATGTTTGATCTCTTGTGGAACGACCTCACTGATAGTCCCCTAAAATTTTCTCTGCGCAAGCTTCTAACAGTGCGTACTCTAGAATAAGTCTCTCTTTCTATTTTTCTTTCTATTTCTGATTTCCAGCAGATGGTAAATAGTTTGTGGCCTCTCAACTAAATTTTGTTCATTCTGTGGGCATATTATCACTTAACGGAGCTTTATTTTCATGAAGTTTTATAGTGCTTTTGTGTAATTCTTCGTAGGTTAGCAAAATATCTATAAAATATACACTTATCACCAAAAAAAACTGAGCACTTATCCATTTAATACATAGAAACAAATTTAGTCTTTTGTGATATTTTATTATTCTCACAACCAACCCAAAAAGAACGCAACATATTTTAAGTAATTTTTAACCACACTCAACCGCATATTTCATTTGATTGTCAATGTGACCTTTAAATCAATGATGATTGACGTTACGTCTTACCGAATACAATTCTGCATTCTTCTTGGCAAGCCTAAAACCAGGTGGTTGGTGTTTCGTAAGAAATAAGTCCCAATTTTCCCAATATGACTTGCTCAATTCATTTAAAGTTTTATCAGCAGGAGTGCGATTTCGCGCGAAGAATAGCCTAAGTATGTTCCAAATATGTTCAATTCAATTGGAAATAGGAATGTGCATATCGTATGTTGTATTGTTGATTAATTTTTGCAATATGAGCTCTGGTATAAGGATGCATCATAATAAAATTATCTTCGATAAAATTCTACACGGGGACAAAAAAAATCCTCCAGAATTTCTTCAATGTGTCTGACAATATTTAAAGATGCTCTTGAAATGATATTGAACCTTGCTTGTGTTCGGGAGAAATTCTAGGTCACACCACAAGTAAACTCCAGTGGTAGCCTACCCTAGGACATTCTGCAAAACGATCTTGGGATCTTCGCCATAGCATGATTTCTGAGAAACTCAAGTCACTTAACCCGATAACGTCTAACAAGCTCTATCATTTCTCTTTTGAGATTCACGTCTTTGAGCGTTTGTTGTTTTTCATATCTTTTTTTTTATTTTCTTTAGACGTGTCCTAATCCTGCCCAACGGAAGTACACACTTTAGGGTGATCTGACTGCATTTAGAAATAGTTGTTGATTATAATGTCATCAGCTTGATTTCTATGTATCTATCAATATGATATCACAAATCACAAATATATTTTTTATCTAGTGCTCTTATCGGTTGTCCCCTGATAATGAGCTGCTCGTTAGAAGATCAGTTAACGGTAACGTTCGAGAATCGAGTAATGCTAGCTCGTAGTGAAGTTCACGTCGGTTGATCGCGTTCAGTTATTTTGCGGTGATCACCCTTGCCAACTGACTCCCATTCATTGCCTACATTTCCCCTACTACTACTTAATGGCTTACAACCTTGGGTCCGTCTTCGCTGAGTTCACAATATCTGTTTATCGATGTCTGTCTGCCATAGCATCTAACGGATCATCAAAATAAGTCTTTGGTATTATCTGTCTATCGCAGGAGTGGCCAGCCATATGATCTTTTATGTACTGGTGCTTCTTTCTATGCGATTTTAAGTATCTCTATCTGCTCAATGCTATCTACTGGTCTCCTATTTCTCTTAAAAGATTAGAATCCCCATATAGATCTTCTAGCCCTTTGTTGGTACGAATCATCAACACGTCTTGATGTTACTTTGCAAAGAGGTTTAGCACTGCATAAAGACATCTATTTATGTTGCAGTTCCTCTGACATTGCTTAGCAGCGAACTGACTAACAGTCTCGAGGAAGAAGACGACGACTCACCTATCGGAGAAGACGACATGACAACGCACGGGTTAGAGAGGCTGAGTTCTGCGGCTACGTGTCTTGTGGCGGGTGTCGAATATACTCATGGACAACAGGTAAGTGACAAGATTGTTCTGGAACTAGTAACGCCGACGAATCCGAGAAATATAATATAAGATATAATATAAGGGATACAATCTGGACCGGGGCCCTACAGAGCGAAAAGTACATTGGATTATTTTAAAAATTTGTGTATTATTACATTTTGCATTGATTTCTTTATTCTTTTTACTATTACTATTACTATACAAATTTTGGAGATAGCTTAAGGAGGTATCTAACAGAATTTATTAATATCGAAATTAGTTCAACATTGTACAGGTTTGGTCAGAACTAATGATTTGCCTACACATAGAAAAATGGCAAAAAGTAATTTTTTTAAAATATTATATATTATGTACTATATATTATCAAATATTCTAAGTGTTCAGAGAATATGCTTTCATTTCCGAAGCCAAAAAAATTATTTATAAGGTTGATAGATCATTCGAAAGGAATTTAATTTTCTCTTAGAACATGTGATTATATGTTATATTTAAAAAAATGTACTTTTCTTCATTTTTATACCTATTAGGCAAAACATTGGTTTTGACCAGCCCTATATATTATAGAACTAATTTCGATATTAAGAAATATTGTGTTCTACAGCCCTAAGCGACGTGCAAAATTTTATTTTCTAGTGGCTATATTTAATTGAAGTTATATTTTAGTAAAAAAAATTATAAAAAATAATTTTCCCAAAATGATTACAGATAAGAACATATTATTAAAAAAAAAGTAAAATATTAACGAATCAAAAATATAAAAATATATATGCTTCCCATTTAAACCATTTAAAAATTCAATGTTGATGCTACTTTTTCGAAAAAACGTCGCAGCGATAAAAATATTTTAGATCGATCGCCGCTTATACAACTAACCAAATCTTCAGAACAATCCAATGTACCGTTCGCCTTAACCGTCTAAGGCACCATCAACGGTGAAAGACCCTATACCGGGTGACACAAGAAAATGGGAACACTCTATACTTTTAAGCGGCTTGAGATAGCGATTTGAAATTTGGAAGTGTTAATATAGGCTGAGTGTCCAATTTTTTGACAATATGTAGTCAATAGTTGCACTGGTTGGATAAGATGGTTTTTCTTGTTTTTTTTTGTTTTTTATTTAACTTTTCAATCTTTTCTTTACTTGTCTAATAGCAAATAGCATTTATTGTAATATGAATTATTAATTTTTTAGGATAACCTAGTTTTTTTAAATAGAACCCTAGTGGGAACGAAAAATTTTTATAACTCGATTTTGTCGTGTTATCGATTTGGATTATCATGGAAAACAATAATCCACTTACAAACAGAGAAAAAGTTGAAATGTTTCTGATATATGAAGACTGCAGAAAAACAACCCGTTATCCGAGACGTCGGCTTCTTGCACATTCTTTGCTTATAAAGCTGGAATTGAAAATGAGGAATCCTCTAATCTATATGATAATTTTATTATAAATGAAGAAATGGAAATGAATGTTGTGGGATACATCAACCTAAATCCAACTGCGTCGCTAAGAAAAGTGGCATTAGAATTAGATATCTCAAGAGAATCTGTGATGAAAATTAAAAAAAAAAAAACACATTTAAGTATAACCTTGATCAACATATTTACGAAGCTGTCTTCGTAAGAAGACTTCGATATTGTAATGGGCTGTTAGATAAACATGACGAGAATAATAATTTCGTTAACATAATTTTGTTCACTGATGAGTCACGATAGAACAACAGACATTGGTCTTTAAATAATAATAAATATTATTGGTCCCGGACAGTTTCAAGAACGCTTCAGAATCACTCTTTGAGCAGGAGTGATAGGAAGGCGAATTATTGGACCTGTTTTTTGTTTCATGGTGCCTTAACTGGTACACGATATTTACAATTCCTAAGAAATTAAATTGAAGACTCGTTAGATGATTTACCTCTGGCCGTGACATTAAATATGTATTTTCAGCAGGAGGGTTACAGCGAATGTAATTTCTAGAGCCAGGGAGTGTCGCATACAAGAAGGAGGACATTTTGAAAACATTTTATGAAAGTTTCATCTTAAAATAAATTGGTTATTAAGTAAATATTTATTGCACTTATTTAATTCAAATAAATACAAAACTCCAGTTCCAAAATAAATGAATGTTATGTAAAACTTGTCTTAGAGTAACACTGGTTGATATACCACTTTCAAATAGATTCTACAGACATTGTTGAGGTTTTATTTTCTAACATATTATTAAAATATTGTGTTGAATTATCCCAAAAAGTGATAGACTTGAAATGAAAAAAAAATTCTATTCTCTTCTTCTTCTGAGTTTCCTGTAAAAAGTGCTTGGAGCTTATGGCGTACTTACAATACTTGCGTTAGTTTTTGACTGTATCCCCGTATTCCTAAAGCATATCAAGTTTTTAACATAATAAAACACTTTCAACAAAAAATTCTAATCGTTGAATCTCAGAAGAAACTCTACGTTGAATTTTTTTAATGCTAATCTGTTTTTTTCGTTCCACTGCATGAGCTTGTCGAGAGTTTCTTCTGCATTTTTAATCTTACATGACAATTAATAATGAATCGAAGCAAAGTAATAATTTGTTTTTATAAAAATATATTTACTTATCTGTTTTTTTCCTTCCTGCGAGCTAATTTTTTAACCGATTTTGGTGTCAAAATGTTGCAAAAAAAGTATCGGTTTTAAAAAGTTTTTGTTCCCACTAGCGTGCTATTTGAAAAAAACTAGATTATCCTAAAAAATTAATACTTCATTACATTAAATGCTATTTGCCATTAGACAAGTAAAGAAAAGTTTCATCTAGAATTTTTCAGAGCCTCCCAGACACATTTTTCAAAAATTAAATAAAAATGATCTCCTGAATCCAAAAATGCAAAAAATATGGGTTGTGCCATTTAAAATTCGAAAGTTATTGTCTTTTTTAACTTAAACCGGAAGTGCAACCATTGACTACATATTGTGAAAAAATTGGACATTAACCCTTCCAAATTTAAAATCGCTATCTCAAGCCGTTTAAAAGTTCTAGAGTGTTTCCAGTTGCTTGTGTCACCCGGTATATGTTTCAGAAATTGCTTATTATTTACATTGAAAACCAAAACGTAAAACGTATATTATTTTCAAAAACGAAATCTCAAAAAACATAACATTGACTTAGTGAGTTCATTCTTTTAATAACAATAAATATTTTCCATTAACAATAAAAAAAGAGTTTTCAAATTTTTTGTGTCCTAAGGAAATATTTTTCACTAATCAAGTCAAGACCAAGTAAGAATAATAATAAATAATCTTTATTCATAATAAAAAGGGATAGCATATAGTTGCTACGAAGCTTAAAAAAAAAAATCTAAAGGGAAATTTTCACCACCCAAAAGTAACGAGCTTCCTACGCTACTTTCCAATATTCTAGTGGCCTATTTCTTTTTAAATGCTTTTTATCCCTCCGACCGGCATTCGAAAAATATCGTGTTGGTATTTACCAGTGTTATCGTTGTTGGGTTTTGCCTCCATTCATCTTAAATGTCAGACTGTTTCCCTAGACAGTCCGCCACAGAAAACCCAATCCAGTTTTACATGCTCCAAAGGACAAAAAAAATCTGAGAAGTCGACGTTAATTGAGTTTTAAATGCGGCGAACAGAAATTTAATTCAAATATACATTGCGGTCATAGAAGGATTTCAAGCAATTTTACTGCAGTTATACTATTACAAAGTTGTACTATGGTAACTTAAAAATTATTTTCATATTGTACAGGTCCAAAGAGTATTAATAGTATCAAGTATTTTTATATTTTATATCTCAATTATAAGGAGTGTTTTTTTTCGATGTATAGAACTTTAAATTGCAATAAAACAAGGATGGATTATTCGATTGACATGAATTTTATTTATCCGAAAGATAATCTTGTGGCATTACATTTTAAATATGATTTCTGGCATATGAGCGCCACGGCTAGCGCGGATGTAATCCAATCTGGACGTTCAATTTTCGATGACTTTGTGGCCGTATATCGGCAATAACACGGCGAATGTTGTCTTCCAAATGGTTAAACGTTTGTGGCTTATCCGCATAGACCAATGACTTTACATAGCCCCACAGAAAGTAGTCTAGCGGTGTAAAATCACAAGATCTTAGATGCCAATTCACAGGTCCAAAACGTGAAATTAGGCGGTCACCAAAGTCTTTCAATAAATCGATTGTGGCATGAGCTGACATGACATGTTGCGCCGTCTTGTTGAAACCACATCTCTTGGACATCATGGTTATTCAATTCAGAAATGAAAGAGTTAGTAATCATAGCTCTATACCGATCACCATTGACTGTAACGTACTGCCTATCATCGTTTTTGAAGAAGCACGGACCAATGATTCCAGCCCATAAAGCGTACCAAACAGTCACTTTTTCTGGATGTAACGCAAAATCTTCCATAAAGTGGATGAACACAGATCCAATTCCTGTGCTCGATGGCGGACGTTCGCACCGTACGGGGGATGCGAGTTATCAATAAGAGTAAACGTGGTGCGAAAACGTTCCATGGTTAATCGAATTAGCTGGTCTGATGGACGATTTTGTCGACCAAAAAATGGACGTAGTGCGCGATACGTATTTCGCAAAGAACTGTTATTTTCGAAATAATATTGCATTATTTGCAAACGTTGTTCAGGCTTGAGTCTATTCATGATAAAAAAAAAACGTTTGTTTTTATTTAACTATTTTAAATGGATTTTCATCAAGTAAAAGTCACTTAAGTACAACAAAAGTATCATCGACATAGCGTTTCCTAACATTGGGTCATCGTGTTTACAGAAAACCTACGCACACAGACCTTAATGCATGGTCACATTATCATCCGAGCCAAAAATCATCGGTTATCAACTCTCTTGTTTACAAAGCCGTAAAACTATCTCAGCCCGAGTCACTGAAAACAAAATCAAAACAACTCATTTCTGCTCTTCTCTCTAATAATTTCCACATTAAAGATATTAAGCGTTCCATCAAAAAATACACTTCACCAC